GCCTTTAAGAGGTGCTTCTCGTATCAAAGCTGAAGTGAGAACCTCTATTGGCCGATTCCTCGGCTTTTATACTTTTTTTCGGATCTGGGATAAGAACGAGAAATTATTTGAAATTATTTAAATTAAAAGCAAATTTTTGTAAATGGCCAAGAAGAAAAGAGTATTTTTGAAGTAAAAACATCAGGCCGGTAACGATATTTGAATAAAAATTGCCATGACAACCAGATAAACAACGATGTCAAAACATGTCAAATTTTGGTTTTAGGCTCGTAATAGAGGAACGGCAAGATTTAAGTGAAAAATGAGATATTATTGATATAGGAAAAAAAGGTAGCGCAACAGTGCGCACGAAGCCCGAAATTGCAGAGTTACGGAGAACTAAATAAAAGATCGAAAAAGGTAGACTCCATTGACACCGATTTAAAAAGTGCTAATAACGTGAAAATACGATGTGAAAATGATTTGTTATTGTGTTCTTATGGTTCAAAAACGTTACAGGATCCTATGAAAATAAAGGTGATGCAAAATATCCAGTTTTGAGGCTAATGCAGAAAATCAAAAACAGAATGGAAAAATAAATTTAAAATAGTGTAAAATGATATGTAAGTAGCATAACACTACCAGACCGAATGGTGAAGAAAATATATAGAGCGAAAGTAAATATTAAAAGGTGTCGAGGTAGACCGAGACTAACTTTCGAAGACCATGTGAGCAAATTGCTCGAAGAGGGAAAGGTCAAGAGTACTCGGATACCTAGACGTGCATGTATGAAGAAGTTAATGAACCTGAAAGAAGCGAAAGAGGTATGTAAGGATCGTGACACTTGGCGATCTGTTCTCTCTGGCTACCCCGTTAGGAATTGTGCGTGAAGATAAGTAAGTAAGTTATACTAATTCTGGAAGAATGTCACAGTACAAATCCACGAACGCAAAGACTTAAACGTGCTTGAAATAAAGTAAATTTTTCTTTATTTTTATTGGATGACAGAATTAGTAATAATACAAATAAAACTGCACTCTTAAAAGTCTTATTGCCTTAAGTTACGGTCCATTTCAGTTTGTTTTGACTGTAAAGATTTAGTGTGACTGTAATTTACATAGTTTTAATTATTTTTTGAGTTAAAAAATTACCTATATTAAAAATGATAGGAATCGATTCAGTAAACGATTCTGAGCAAACTACTTTCTCAAAGTGCGTTAATTATGTTACATGTTGTGTGTGTGTATGTATGTATATAATATATATATATATATATATATATATATATATATATATATATATATATATATATATATATACAGCTTGAATCTTCTGACTATAATATTATATATAATAATTATTTATTTTATGGTGATCGTGGTGATTGCACAATATCGTCTACATCGAAAAAAGAAAGCTGGATGTTCCGGCAAAATTCCATAAGTTATCTCGAAATTCATAATTCGAAAAAAAAAATAGTCCTACGCCCACTGCGAGTACGAGCCAACACTTAGGCCTTAATTTCCATTTGCGAAATGATCTTCAGAGTCAATGTGAAAACTATGGTAGTATTTTATTGTGCAATTGATATAAAAGTTGCCTTTGTTTAGTAGTCATTATAATTGTTGATTCGATTTTGCATTTACAGATATAACAATAAGTAATTCTGCCACTTACAATACTTAAGTGATACCATCTACAAGTTCAATAGAAGTAAAAGACCAGGCGAGTTTTAGTGTTACAAATGTAACTATTTTGGAGAAGATAGTTCATAAAATTTTAAGTATTTCTGTATATTTAACTCAAAATTCGACTTTTTCTACACACTGTATATATATATATATATATATATATATATATATATATATATATATACATCCCGTAATTTTTGCATATAATGTGGCGTCAACCTGCTTACGACGTCCAATATACGGACGTCAAATAGGAGACTTAGCGCAATGTCATGTTGATCACAGAAATGTCAAAATCTAAAAAAAAATTGGACGTCATTTTTCTTCCAATCTTGCTGTACTGAATATTTACGTAGTTCCGCTAATTTTCGTTGCAAAAATAATAGCGCTGCTGTCGATTTGTGAATACTTTCATTTATGGCCGTATTTGACTTCCGCACAAAATTAGAAGACGACGTTGCCATTCAGTCACCGTTGCCATCGTATTACTTGTATTTGGTGATATATGGTTATGACTGCCTCGTTGGTTTAGTGGTTGTAGTAGTGCGACTGCTGATCGTGAGGTCCTGGGTTTGAATCCCGGGTCGGGCCAAAAATTCAATTATTGAGTTTTTCTGTCAAGAAATTCTCAATAGCTGCCCGGAGTCAGGAAGTTGACGGTGTATCACCCCCTTGCCTCGGAAAGCACGTAAAGCCGTTGGTCCTACGCCTGATCTCTCTCCGGTCGTGTCGGTTTACCGTCCCATCGGATTATGAGAATGCGGGAATAGAGAGTGCACCTGTGGTTGCGCATACACTTGGACACTATAATCCTGTCCTGCGCCGATGGCTAGTCTCCGTTGAGGCAGGCCGCCGTGACAGTAATTTGGTCTGCAGGACATTATTATATGGTTTATACTGCGCTTGGTACTAGTAATTTTACTTTTAAACTTGTTTTCTTAACCTTACAAAATTTACCTAAACATAATATGGACGTCCTAATATCCTAAAACTTTCATACTGAATGATATTTGACATCCGTATTTTTGAATTTAGTTATATTTTTATAAATGTAGATGCGGACGTCGGCTTATCGGTTTATTTCATGCTGCACTATATTTTAACATTTTAAATTTGGTACTAATCTGACTAAAAGAACTCTTGTTTGGTATTTCGTAAGCAACCCATAATTCTGTTTGAGTGTAAGTTACCTTCTGATTGAGTACAGGAAGATGGACTCAATTGTAGGTATTGACAGGTTTCATAGAAGTTTGTTTTATTATATTGTGACTAATAACCTCTGACTAATAACCTAATATGGTCTGGCGAAGAAACTCATTTTAATATAAGGTTACTGCATTACTTGCCAGTAGGTTGTTAATTTGTACAATAGACCGTGGCATATTGTTGCTGACATATAATTTATTTACTTGATCGTGTTGAGTTTTGGTGCTCTCACTGCATCGTAAGAATGAGTGCGACTATTGTACCTAATCTGTACGAAATTACTCTCTACTTAACTAGATTCATTTTTGTGAAAGGCTATTTTTGTTAAATTATGATATTATGTTTGGTTTTGCAGTTAGTTGAAATACAATTTAATTTTTCACACACGTTTTCTAAGCTTCTAAGCGTTATACATTTCTAGAACGAAACATTTTATAAAACACCAAAGTGACTATTTTACACCGCATATCCCAATCCATCATAATCCCTATCCCCATATCATAATCCCACTAAAATATACACTAAAATACGAATAAAACAATAGCGAAAAATGTCATTAAAGTAATGATCATTAATGTGTGTCTGATACACAAGAAATTAAAATATAAATATATTCATGGTTATATGGACGTCAAATATGCGGTATTAAACTTTACCGATAATCTGACGTCCACATATAGAAATATAACTAAATTCAAAAATATGGACGTCAAATATTCAGTATGAATGTTTTAGGATTTTCGGACGTCCATATTATTACGTATACACAGGTAGTAATTTAAAGTTGAAATTTTGGCGCACACCGTGCCCCAAAAACCGCTACAAATGGCAATATTTATCAAAAAAGAAATAAGAAAGGTTTTCTAAGCGTTTTATCGTTTCTAGAATGAAGCATTTTATGAAACACCAAAGTGACTATTTCATACCGCATGGGCTCCCTACACTAAAATAAAAATAAAACAATAGCGAAAAATGTCATTAAAGTAATGATCATTAATGTGTGTCTTATACACAAGAAATTATTCTGACAAATAAATAAATAATAATAATAATAATTAAAATATAAATATATTCATGGTTATAGAACGTCGTAGAAATATCGTGCGGTATGAAACTTTGCCGATAATCTGACGTCCACATATAGAAATATAACAAAATTCAAAAATATGGACGTCAAATATTATTCAGTATGATTGTTTTAGGATATTCGGACGTCCATATTAATTATTATATGTAGCTAAATCTAAGGTCACGAAAACAAATTGGAAAGTAAAATTATCTACTAGCACTGAGTACAGTATAAACCGACAAAACAATAAAAATACCAAAATATGCCTTGAGCACTAAATAAATAGTCAACATAAATAAATAGTAAAATACAATTATCAACAATAACTTTGGACATCGGATATCGAAGAAGTGGACGTCAAATAAAACTTAGTATGTATATTTTAGGATATTCTTAGGTCCGTATCCCATATACGGACCTAAGAATATCCTAAATACTCCGTTCAATGTCCATGTTAAGTACATTAATCAACATACACAAGTTTATTTACCTAAGTTACTAAATATAACCAAAGAAACTTAAATGCAAGCAAGCATAAGCGTGGACGCCAATTAGAGCACGGTATGCATGTTTTTAGTAATATAGCGTCCAATATTTATAACAACAAACACAAACGTAACACTAAAACTCGCCGCTAGATGAAGTTGTAACGGTACATGACTATAGCATTTTGACTATTAGTGTTACATTTAGTGTTATAAAAGGTAGACGTGCGTTTGTTTAGACAAGAAGTGTTACATATCAAAATACAACAGTGCTTTAGACGGGTATTTTTGCTTACATCAATTTGTCCAATGAACTCTTCTAACTTATGATACAAGTCGAATTATTACAGTCAAACTAGCTCAATATTTCTATTATAATCAATAATATAAGTATCAGTATTATGGATGCGATTTATTGCAATATTGTTTTACTTTTCACGTTTTAACAGTATTTGACGAAAAATTTATATTTTTTGTCTGAATATTTCGATTTGTAACCTTGTTTTATAACAAAGTTTAGATATTTTCGAAATATTTGTTGTGAATCTGATTTATGATTCTAGGGCCAAAATGAAACGTAATGACGTAATTCTGCGTTTAGCTCTAAAGGATAAAAGGAATATACCCGCCGATTATTATCAAAAGATTGGGGGAACAAACTTGCAAGCTACGATGCCTACTATACTTACCTACTTACCTTACCTACCTGTTTTTACCAGGTTATTTTTGTCATTTTAAAAGTTAGTAGTATATGTTATTTTGTATAACGAACTAATTGAAGCGCCTAACTTTATGTAAACAAGTGAATTTCATCATAGGTTCGTGTTAATATTTTTTCAGAATCAAGAGAAAAATCGGATTTTGATATTATTGACAATCTATCAGAAACCGGGAAAATTGACTTCGATATACCACAATGTAACCTCGCAAGAGCTAATCAAGATTTCATAGCTATTAGCTGAAGCTGAGAGTCAAAAAGGTTTTTTTTATCGTGCAATCGGAGCAATGTTGGCTTTAATTTTGATGTCTGAAACGATGTGCTAATTTTAAAATGTGTTTTACAGAAAATAAGACAAGAATTATTCCAGCAAGAACACTACGGAATTTGAAACACTGAACATTTCAAAAGCTATCCCATCGAAAAAGTTAATTTCGATTTGCCAAATGATCTTCAGACTCAATGTGAAAAATATGGTAGTATTTTATTGTGCAATTGATATAAAAGTTGCCTTTGTTTAGTAGTCATTATAATTGCTGATTCTATTTTGCATTTACAGATATAACAATAAGTAATTCTGCCACTTACAATACTGAAGTGATACCATCTACAAGTTCAATAGAAGTTAAAGACCAGAGTTCCAAGCAAATCGAAAAGCCTATTGATGACTTGTCAACCGATTTTTCTTCAGATACAGAAAGTACATGTTCTTCAGACACTTCTAATTCAACTTCAAATGAGGATAGTGATAATTCGGTGAAAGATCCAGATTTTCAAATTGAGGAACGTCGTTCCGTTAAAATCTCTGACGATTCCTAAACTGAAGACAACATTGGTAACCAAGCTAACTTCGAAGTTACACCTGCAGCTACATCTTCAGTATCAACATTGTACTCAAGCCTAGATGACACGATACCAGACACGAAAAAACGAAGTAGAAAACGTGTAGCTAAACCAACTGAATGGTTACAAAATAAATGTAAAATCCTCAGAAATCCAGGATCTGACTACCACTAAAAACAAAGGTGAAGAAGGATACTAGAAAAATTAAACCACCGTGTAGCGAACGTCGGTTAAAGTGCAAAGAAAAATTTTCAGAAGTAGATAGAGAAGCTGTTAAATATATTAACCGCCAAAGAGATTTTATCAACAGGCATATGGCGCCAATAAAGCGAAAATATAGATACACGACTACTCTAAAAGGGAGACAATTAAATCATGCATTTTACTTGACCAAAATGGGATGTCAAATCCAAATCTGCAAGACATTCTTCATGAATACAATAGACATCAATAATAGAGTAATACAGACTGTAATCATGAAGAGGACATCTGCTGGTTCCGTTGAAGAGGACAAAAGAGGCAAACATCACAGTCATCACAAATTGCCTGATTGTGTTAAGGAATCTATTCGCAACCATATTAATTCAATCCCCCGCATTGAGAGCCATTATTTGCGACAGCAAACTGCAAGGGAGTTTATTGAGGGTGGAAAAACAATAGCTGATCTTCACCGTGAGTATGTACAAGAATGTGGGCTTAATAATAGACCACACAGCAATTATGTAATGTATGCAAAAAATTTTAACACAGAGTTCAATTTAGGTTTTTTTGAGCTAAAATAGGATCGCTGTGAGCTGTGTGTTGCTTATGAAATCGCAGAGGACAAACAACATCTTCAACAGATATATGATCAACACCTTTTGGAAAAGCAATTGTCACGACAGGAAAAACAGTGCGACAAAGATAACGCTTCGGAAACAAATATAATAGCAGTTTATGATCTTCAAGCTGTTCTACCAGTTCCAAAAAGTGACGTATCTGTTTTTTACTACAAAAGTAAATTAAACTGTTTTAACTTTACGGTGTCCAACCTTGCAACTAAAACAACTGAATGTTACTTCTGGCATGAGGGCATAGGTAATCGTGGTTCTGATGAAATTGGTAGTTGTATTCTCCAGTTTATAGAAAAGAGATTGTCTCAAATTAACGATGGTTCTGCTATTGAAATAACCTTTTATTCAGACAACTGCAGAGGACAAAATAAAAACAAGTTTATAATGGCTCTATATGCCTATTGCGTACTCAAATACTATAGACTGAAATCTATTACACACAAATTTTTAGTGACTGGACATACTCAAAATGAAGGCGATTCAGTGCATTCGGTAATTGAGAAATGCATTAAAAGGAGTTTGAAATCTGGCCCAATTTACGTGCCTTCTCAATATGCACAAATTATAAGAACAGCCAAAATGGGCCCCCATACTCGGTGAATGAGCTTTCATTTAATGACTTTATATCCCTGAAGAAATTAGATGCAGAACTACGTTTCGGTACGGGTAACATTAAATTGAAAGACGTCAGGGTCGTTATATTCATGAAAGAAACACCTTGTGTTCTTTATTACAAGAACTCTTATGAAGACGAAGGATTTTCGGAAGCTAAAATTTGGCGAACACACCCTGAGGTTCTGCCTGGACTAAAAACTGCTTACATCAGACAGCTCTCAATATGCGAGAGAATCATATACCTCAGTTTTATGCACCTTTTACAACCAATTGTAATTGAATAAATACCAGTAATTTTTTGATAATTATGCACCCTAATTAAAAGATGACTGAAACTTGGATTTTATCAGTGATTTTGATTTTACATATTTTTTGTAAGCTTTTCAATTATGTGTAATTAGTATCACTTTATAGTAATACTACAAGAATAAAGACTATAAAGAATCCATGAGTTTATTTTCGATTTTCTAAAGATCCAGGTTTTTCAAGTTGTAACCCTGTTTTATCGGAGGTGCGATTTCTTGTCAGGGTTACTCTCTAGTCTAAGTTTTAAAACAGTTAACGCTTTTTTTTCCTAATTTATTATTTTCCAGATAGTTCATTTAATAAATCTTGAAAATCAACAACTTTTTTAAATATCGGTTTTGTAATTGAAGCCTTATAATAAAAACAAAAACTTGGTTAACACCATCTAAGACGATAAACTGATTTTTCTTTTCACAAATCTGATATTTAAAATAAGTTAACTAAACCTATTTCGATTTGTTAAATGTTTTAAATTTTATCCTGCATAATGTAAAATAAACCTGTAGCAAAATAATAAACTTATTTTCAATAATTTCTAAGTCTTTTTCCGAAGAACATTTCTAAATACTTTAAAAAAAGAATTTCTAAAACACCTTGGTATTATTTATCTATGTATTACTTATAATCAAATATAAACTTATGCGGACTATGGTGATTTGCTTATCGATAAAAAATATCGACATAGTCCACGCCTTACGTTGCTTACGCATTTAGACAGCGCCACCAGTGTATCGACACGTGTACAATTTGATGGAATGTAGAATGTAATTTTGCATTTGTAGTTAAGAGCGCATATTCAAATATGTCCAAGTCGAAATCATGTCGAAATCAACGCGATCGCTTTGGAACGGCGTAATATTGACGCACACTACAATGTTATCTCTGTGTGCATGTCAGGGCGAGCGTGGGGCTATAATAGTTGCCTAACGACGAATTTTTTTCATTTTAGGCAAATTAAAACATTTTTGAATTATTTGTTTTTTTTTTTGCAGTCCCTGAATTTTTCAAACCACTCATTTTAATATAATTCTGTTTCGACTGGTGAGACAATGTCGTAATAAAAATATTTTAATGTGGTAGTAGCTAACAGATGTAATCATTTTTGCTGTCAAAATTATGGATTAAAGTATAGAATAAGGAGGTTAGTGAAAATCGGGACATGTGGCGTCCCGATCAACGGTGAATCTGGACGTGTCACTAGACCCTTGAAAATCGGGACACCTGGCAACACTAGCGGGGATCGAGCCCGGATTGTTCGCGTTTACGGCGAGCACTACGCCCTTGAGCTAGTCAACTCAAGAACGGCTCATATGTTTTATATCTGGGGGCACGGTAGTGCCCCCGCCAAGTCGAGCAAAACAGCGGCACGGCCGTATCATCATTGCGAGACTTGGTTATTTTACAAGTTATGTTTTTGATGGCATGTCTTTGTTTAATCATAACGTTATCTCCACACTAGGAATTTTTCCTAAGTACATCGTGGGGCAGTTTAAATACATTAATTTCACAAGGACATACATCCAGACCTGGAACAATTATTTGTAGGTAATACAAAATTCTGTTCCATGTGGGATTCGAACCCGCAGCGCTCAGCGCTACAACACATTACCAAGTCACTCAGCCACGGAGCCAAAGGTGAAAGCCAACGATTTTGTATTTTTACTTGATCCAAATTGCTTACATTCATAACTCATTGGAACTGGAAGGGTCATTGCTTACCTGGTTTGAGTATGGGCAAAATAATTTGGGTTTTCAATTCAGCAGGAGGATCACCAGTAATATAATTAAAATGTATAGTAAGACAGTTTTAGTGTTCTCACTACTATTAATTATAAATGAATAAGGAATACCTGGTGAGGAGTCTTTTATGCCATTGAGTACAGTAAACAATTCCTGAGAAGAAAAGGGGGAATCGAATTTATCCCCTTAAACCCCCAGAAATGAGCGGAGGCCTGTGCCCAGCTGTGGGACGTATATAGGCTGTAACTTTATGAAATCAAGATTGTATAAGCAATCTTGATATCATAAAGTTACAGTAGGAACATATAACTTTATTAATTCGATAAAATAAAATGCTAAAATAAATATTTAATCAAAATGTTTTCAATGTTGATAGACTCTTTGGTTGGTCCGGCGTTTTCCGCACTTGAGGAAATTTTTGTTATTTTTCTGAAATCATTATTTACAGAGACTGCGACTATAATAATGTTGTTTGATGTAAATCATGCGCATATTAAAAGTATAATATTCCTTTAGAATAAAAATTGGCGAAGTTATGACCAAGATATAATTTAAGCCAATCGGCGTCATCCGCCTAAGAATTACAATTTAAATGACGCCGTTGTGCGTCCACCGCCATGAATGGGTTAAACCCCCAAATTGCTCTTACCATTTTAAAATATTGTCTTGTACCTAGATTTACATACTCCGCTCGAATTCAGTCTGGAAATATTCGGATATTTTAAAAGATATTGATAATAACCTTAAAAACCTAGAAAAAATTAAAGTTTAAAATCAACAGCCTGGCTACGAGGGCTGCACTAAAAGTGTCGGGAATGGAATATTTCCACTGTTCCTGTCATATTAAAATCTTTTTAATTGAAAACTCCTTGGTTTTAAAAATCGAATACCATTTATTTATTTAAAAAAAAGATTCTCGGTCTTGTCACAAGGTTTTGTCAAACTTGTTTAGTCGTTGAGAAAATGGAATTGACTCGAGAAAATTCAAGAGCGATGATTTATTATGACTTTCGAAGTGGTTTAACACAAAAACAGTGTGTTGACCGGATGATTTCTGCATTTGGTGATGAAGCTCTATCCAAAACCACAATTTATCGCTGGTTTGCTGAATTTCAACGTGGACGTGTCAAGCTCAGTGATGATCCCCGTCAAGGTCGTCCAAAAACTGCAGTCACCCAAGAAAACGTTGATGCTGTGCGTAAGCTGATTGAGGAAGATCGACATGTGACATGCCGCGAAATTCAGGCAACTTTAGACATTGGCATGAGTCAAATACAAATAATCTTGCATGAACAATTAGGTGTAAAAAGTTGTTTGTAGATGCTGTATGTTATACGTTATGTAGTTATCAAAGACTATATAACCACTTGACTGCGCATACAATGCCCCGACGCTCGAAAACTATTAGTATTTTGTCGCCTATGCATCGCCTATGGTACTATTAACCATTTTAGTATTGTCCAAGTGTTAGACCTGTGTGTA